TTGGATTGCCGCATCTGCATCCACGGGCGTTGTTTTCGGTATACTCAGCCATCCCCCGCATCATCTTCAATTTGCTTCCTCTCGTTACGCCTTTCCCGTTTTCCCGTTTATCGTTTCTTCTGTCAAGCACAACCTTGACGTCTCGTTTCGTCCACAGCTGCAAGCCGCAAAAAAGCCAGGACTCCAGACACACCCCCATCTTGAACACATCTACTCCTTAACCTTGTCACCTATTCACTCCCCTGCGATTTGCCAAGCTTCCCGCCCACTTTGTCACTCAATATCCAGCATATCTTCGATCAAGGTATATGGCAAAGTACCTTACTTTACGTACCTGACCCAAAGTGCCTATCTCTACAAGGCACACCGCGCAGCTTTTGTTGATACCAGGTAACAGAAGATACCTCACATCTAATCCACTCTCTCCAATGCCCTCCATGCAAGTCCTCCTCCCACCACTCTGCTCAACTGTTGCATTCCTTCGTTCCGTCACTAACAATTGTGGCCCTACTTTAGCTCATGACGGACACGGTACGAATACCTTACTGGCTCCATCTCCCCAGACAAAGTCCAAGACAGGAAGCCGCCCAACGGATGCGCTTCGGTCCTCACTTCTTCGGCCCATCCACTCGTCGTCCCGTTCGGTCGGAGCTATTTTCCCACCACCGTTCCGCGCCCGCGTTGCATCCCTCCACTCCTCCCACCCCAGTCCTCGGACAGTCAACGGGGGTCGCTGGGTAAGAGGTACCTCGTCCTCTCTCTCTCTCTGTCTCCAGGTCTCTCTCGTTTGTCCGTTGCGGAGATACGTCCAGATCTTCCAGTATCCCATCCATTATCCATCCATTATCCATCCATCCTCCTTCAGGTTTGGTCGTCTTTGCGGTACATACATCCTCGCTCCCCTCCCTTGGCACGCATTCCACCCACCACAAAAGTATAACTTAACGCTGCCTCCTAGCACACACCTCTCTTACCCTTCCCTCTTCTTTTTCCCTTCTCTTCTTCATCACCACCCCCAAGCTCTGAGCTTGCCCGTTCTCTATTAACAGTTTTCTTTCCAGATCAATATCTGCAGGGCTTTACCAAAAGCACCAACACACACCATCCAACCCCCCCAAGCGCGCGTTTTAAGCCGTTACCTACCGATATCCGATGGGAGAACCCGAAGCCGTCAGGCATGGTGAACACAACACAGCTGCCGCGGAAGTGAATCCCGAGCAGGACGAGCCGCCGTCTATACCGCGGCCCCCGCCCATTCCCAACCCGGTCCCTCAGCGACCTGCCCATTCGGTTCCTGTCACGGACATAGGTCTCCTCTGGCAAACCGACCTCGAAAATGGTCTCTCAAAGGCCGATGCTGCCGCCCGTCTTGAACGGGACGGGCCTAATCGTATCGAGGGCGCAAAGGGCCTATCCGTTTGGGAGATTGTCATGAGACAAATCTCCAACAGTCTGACCTTGGTTCTTGTCATTGTCATGATTTTGTCCTTTGCTATCCAAGATTACATTGAAGGAGGTGTCATCACCGCCGTTATCCTTCTTAACATCGTCGTGGGGTAAGTTACGTCGCCTGCCTTCACCCCGTTACTTCGCAGTGGCATATGTCTGCTTCCCTCTGGTTCCTCGTGCCTGGTCCACCGATTCTATGATTCTCTTGAGTTGTTGCAAAGCACGACTGGCCACTCACCTGGCTGCCGCCCCACGACTGGGTAGGGTGACTGCTGACCGCTGCTCCTGTGGACCGCGCACTCAATGTACCCTGCTCGCGAGATTCTTGGCAAAGTGGCTCATCCTCTACCCCTGCCCCCGAGCCAACTCGGTCTCACACACCTTTCCTACCCAGCACTTTAGTCGCCGAGCATTCATGGCTGACATCTTTCTAGCTTTGTCCAGGACTACAATGCCGAACAGACTATCCAGAGTTTGTACGCGCTGTCCGCCCCGACGTGCAAGGTCGTCCGTGACGGAATCGCGGAGACCATCAAAGCCGAGACTCTGGTCAAGGGTGATCTTGTCATGATCGCCGTCGGCGATGTCGTCCCAGCTGACCTTCGTCTTCTCGAGGGAATTAACCTCTCCATCGACGAGGCCCTACTCACCGGCGAGTCCCTGCCCATCAGCAAGCACCCCGAGGCACTCTTCGAGGAGGCTGATATTCCCCTCGGCGACCGCATCAACATGGTGTACTCGGCTACCACCGTCACTCGAGGACGCGCTCGCGGTATTGTCACCACCACTGGTATGGAAACCGAGGTGGGGAAGATCGCCATGATGCTTCGCACTACTCGTAAGAGAGACGAGAATGCCTCACTCCCCGCCCGCGCTCTCGCGCGTTTCAAGGCTGCTATGAAGAGCATCCTTGGTCTCGAGGGCACTCCTCTTCAGGTCAAGCTTAGCAAGTTTGCTCTTCTGCTATTCGGACTGGCTATCCTTCTGGCCATTATTGTCTTCGCGGTCAGCAAGTTCGATATTGACGACCAGGTTCTCATTTACGGTATCTGCGTCGGTGTCGCCGTCATTCCCGAGTCCCTTATCGCCGTCCTCACCATCACTATGGCTGTTGGTACCAAAGCAATGGCGTCTGGAAACGTCATTGTTCGCAAGCTCTCCTCTCTCGAAGCCGTTGGTGGTGTCACCAACATCTGCTCCGACAAGACAGGTACGCTCACGCAGGGACGAATGATTACCAGGAAGATCTGGCTGGCCGAAGATACGACCGCCATTATAGAGGGCACTACCGACCCCTATGACCCGACCAGCGGCAAAGTGCGTTGGCCTGGATCGACCGCATCAAGCTCGGGCTCTAGTGGAGCGTCGACTCCGACGGTTGAGAAGTCTGACGACACTATCATTTCCTCATCCTTCGGTGCCTTCCTCAAGGCTATTGCTCTGTGCAACAACTCCGCTGTTACCGATGGCAAGGCCTCGACCGATACTGAGTCTATGACCACCGCTACCGAGGTGCCGGTTTCGTGGACCGCCATTGGCGAGCCCACCGAGATTGCCCTTCAGGTCTTTGCTATGCGATATGGAAAGGGAAAGACAGACCTCATCTCGTCCGAAAAGACGAAGATGTTGTACGAGTTCCCCTTTGACTCCACCTGCAAGCTCATGAGTGTCGTCTACGAGTTCCCTGGCGCTCCCCGCCAGGTCTTCACCAAGGGTGCCGTCGAAGTCATGGTTGAGAGATTGGCCGAGTCGGACGACGTCAAGCAGAGGATCGCGGCCAAGGCTGACGAGCTAGCCTCAGAGGGTCTCAGAGTCCTCTGCGTTGCTCAACGATTCCTCGAAGATGCTGACAACGCTAGCGAGAGAAACGAAACGGAGTGCAAGCTCCGTTTCCTCGGTCTTGCTGGCCTGTACGACCCCCCTCGTGTCGAGACTCTCGGAGCCGTCAAGAAGTGCAACACGGCTGGTATCTCAGTCCACATGGTTACTGGTGATCACATTAAGACTGCTACTGCCATTGCTCATGAGGTCGGTATCCTGCGTGGCGGCGAGCCGTCTACTGCAGTCATGGCCGCTGGACAATTCGACGCCATGACCGACGCCGAAGTTGACGCTCTTGAAGCCCTCCCTCTTGTGGTCGCTCGATGCAGCCCTATGACCAAGGTCAGAATGCTCGAGGCCATGCATCGTCGCAAGGCCTACTGCATCATGACTGGTGACGGTGTCAACGATTCGCCTGCTCTCAAGAAAGCCGATGTTGGTATTGCCATGGGCAAGAGAGGCAGTGACGTTTCCAAAGAGGCAGCGGACATGGTTCTTACCGATGACAACTTTGCTTCCATCGTTACCGCCATTAAGGAAGGTCGCCGCTTGTTTGACAACATTCAGAAGGTTTGTTTATCCACACATACACATTTCCACTTTTCTAACCAGGCTGCCAGTTCTTGCTCCATCTCTTGATCTCCAACATCTCCCAGGTCATTCTTCTCCTTATTGGTCTGTCATTCAAGGACAGAAGTGGCACCTCCATATTCCCTCTATCCCCTTTGGAGATTCTGTGGGTCAACCTTATTACATCCTCATTCCTGGCTATCGGTCTTGGTCTGGAGGAGGCTCAACCCGATATCCTCCTGCGTGCACCTCACAGTCTACGCGTTGGTGTCTTCACCTGGGACTTGATCCGCGACAAGATGATCTACGGTTTCTTCATGGGCTCGCTCTGCTTGGCCGCGTTTACTTCCGTTGCGTACGGACCAGGCGCGGGCGATCTCGGCAGCCATTGCAACGACGGCTGGAACGAGACCTGTGATGTCGTCTTCAGGGCCCGGTCCACCGTTTACGCCACCTTGAGCTTCCTGCTCTTGGTCACTGCCTGGGAGGTCAAGCACTTCCAGCGCAGCTTGTTCAACATGAACCCTGAGTTGTGGACTGGCCCCACGGCTGTGTTCAAGACCATCTTCAAGAACCGTTTCTTGTTCTGGGCCGTCGCCGGCGGCTTCATCATGACTTTCCCCGTCATCTACCTCCCTGTTGTCAACCGCGCTGTCTTCAAGCACGGCATGATTACCTGGGAGTGGGGCATTGTCGTTGCCTGCTTGGTCGTCTATGTTGCTCTCATTGAAACCTGGAAGGCTGTAAAGCGTCACATGGGTCTCGGCATGATTGCACGCAGTCCTGAAGGACAGGTTTAGTCCGCGCGCTAGATTGGAGATGATTCTGCTGCAAAGCAGATGCCTCTGCGCAGGCTGTAGTCAAATGCGTGGGAAGTTTCCTGGTAATCGGTGCCTCGGTGCGAAGTATTGGCGGGATTAATATCGGATCCAACATCGGTAATGGGAATCAGGCAGAATGGGGCTATTCAACATGAGTCTGGCAGGCTTTCGGGCTTTGGTGATGTGTTCGCTTTCGTCACACTCTTTTAGTATCTTTTCTACAAGGCTTTGGCTGTCGAGGATTTACTCCAGCCCCAAATTGCCACGCAATAAAATGAACTCGATGTTTCGAGCTCAACACACACTCTAAATGTTCCCTTGCGTACTAATGTGCTGACGTTACTTGGACCCTTGATTCTCTGCATACTTTTCGACAAAACCTGCTTCTCTCCTCTCCTGCTCAACCTTCTTCTTATACTCAGCCCAATCATCGCTCCTCGGAAACGGCACATTCGGCACCTCGGCCCCCAAAAACGCACAAAGCGGCTCCCATCCGTCTCCAGGTCTCAACTCGAGGAACTTACGCCCATCGGTCCTAAACACCCTCACCTCCTCATGGTGCCTCTGAAAATACGCCTCTCCATTCTTTTCAAAGTCGTTGTCCCAGCAGACAGAGTGGTATGCGTTCGCCAACCCCTCCATTGGCGACTTTCGAAATTCATCCCGGTGGAGATGTGCGTGGATCAGCGTATCCCGCATCGAAGACGCCCAGGAGTCGAAGGAGCGGGTGGTGAGGATTATCGGGGTTGTAGGGTATGCTTCTGCAAGGGCGGTTGGGAAGAGGGAGGGGGGGAAGTCGGAGACTGCTTCGTACGGGGAGAGGAGGGCGTCCCATTGGGATTTTGACCAGGGGTTTGGGGGGTTGGAGATGGGGAGGTTGTCGGTTATAGCGGTGATCCAGAGGTCTTGGTGGGTGTTTTTGGCGACTTCGCGCATGTGGTATACGGGGGCGATTTTGAGGATTGCGAGGGCGTCGGCGACGGCTGAGGAGTGTCAGAGGGGTTTTAGTCAACGGGGATGGTAGGTGAGAGGTACACTGTGTGCCTGTTCTGGGGAGACCCAGGACGAGAACTTTCATTTCAGACATGTTTGGCAAGTTGATCTTGTTGAGAGCGGACGAGACTACAATGATGTTGAGATGGGCGGGCACTCGTTTCGTGAATGAGCTGACCACAGCGATTTAAAGGAACTGAATACAACACTTCATTGCGGCTTCTGGGTTTGCAATAGTTTCTGCTATCTGACCTCGATAAGAGGATCGTATGAGTCCGAGATGTTCCGCAAGGCAAGATCACGGGGCTGGCTTGGATAGGAAGCTGACTCGGAGCGGGTCGGATCGGAGATGCTCTGAGGATCCGGGGCCCGGTCAAGGTTCCACTTTTACGGGATTGCGGCCGGCGTCATTCCCGATTTTGTCCGCTGGCTGATTACGTTACTCGAAAGAAGAGCCTCTACTGCAGGAAAATTGAGAACTTCTGAGAAAAGAATGAAGTATGATTTCTGCCGAAAGAATAGGCAGTCTTGAGATGACGGCAGGGCCACTCGATGCTGGATGCTCGACTGGGTGCAGGGAACTTTGGCCGTTGCTTGTATAGAGCCTAACATACGGATTGGAGTTCTTCGCGAAAGAAACGGCCACATGAGGATCCAATGTAGTAAGCGTTGCCAGTGATTGAAGACGTGCGTAGACCAAGTACTTGTTTAGGTCATTTCATTTGTTGATCTTCAGTGCCCCCCCCCGGGGGGGGGGGGGCAGTATAAGTAGGTCCGTACGCAGTCTAAGAAGCGATAGAGCAGGCAACAAGCATTGCAAGCATCAACAGCCTGGATGGAGCCTGCTCACCCATGGTTGTGATGGGAATAATCTCGATTGGTCAGCCTGGCTGGTGTAAACAGTGAAAAGCGGACGACTAGCCAGCTAAGCCTTTACCAGTCGGCCGTTTTCCTTATCTTGGTACCACCGCAACCAGAGTATTCAACTCCTAATACGTGCAAGAAGTAGGATAGTGTGGGTGGGTATATCGGAAAGAGCTCTTATTTTGGTCACACAGAACGAAAAATACAGGAACAGCTTACTACAGAGTGAGTTCAAATAGGCACATCTTTTCCACACCAAGCAATTCGAGATTTCAGTCCCAACGTCCCACCGTCTGGTTGCTATCTCAAACGCCCCCTTTTATAGTGTTAAATTCCCGCAATTGACCATGTCTTGAGAGTAAGAGATACCGATACCCAGACATCAAGTAACCAGAGGGCCATCAAATTCAACGAGAGCGACACGAAACGACTGCGATAACATTAATGAAGTGCTATACTTCCGCCTCAACGCGAACTTGTAGTTGAGCTCATGTGTTCAGACATAAAGGGTGGCATCCAAATTCCGATCGGAACAAGTAAAGTGATGCTGGACAGTGCAGCTCAAGTGAGCAAACACTAGTCAGTTGCGGTCTTCCACCCCAAGACAATTCCATGTCAGTCTGTCAAAGAAGTTCTAAGTTTAATTGAGATAGAAGAATTGGCATATTTTTATACTTAGGGCGGATTAGACCTCCACGGGATTTCAGTTTATTCTACAACATTGACGTACCAAAGTTACCCTGTACATCACAAAAGGGCAATATTAGGATCTACTAATATCAGGGACCATTGATCTTCAAGTTCTTTCAAGTAGACTCTCCGAGCACGGATCTCAAACTGAGGGTTCGCCCCTCCATCAGCTAACTTTACCCCTTTCGTCATCCGCTCATCGCGATTTGCCTTTCAGTCCTGCAGGCTGCGTTCATCTTTACTCACCAACACAAACTCTACCACCGAAGTTCGCCCAATGCCGGAACACTCTGCAAAGTAAAATCCCCCAAGGGTCCGTCTGGAAGAGCAGGAAGTCTTTCTCAACTGGAGTGGGCATAGGTTGGAATTTGGAGTTCGTCGATTGACGGGTTAAGTTCCCTGTGAGACAGGTCCTTTCCACGCCATCGACATGGCGTTAGACTAGAGCGACTGGAAACATTCCAATATTGCATCGCCGTAGGCCCATTACCGAAGTACATCTTATATTATCAAAAAGAAGGAAAAGGCCATATTGGTGATCTGGAGGCTTGGCTGCTTATATCTACTCACTGCTTCCATTTACCAACAGCCACACCGATCACTCATTCCGTGGAGCAATGTACCAAGGCATACTTTGCCACTGATAAATGTGTAATAAGCCAGTTCCTTTCCAATCAGAAAGTATCGGAGAATAAGCTTATTCGATGAAGAGCGAATCGCATTCGAAATGTGTGTCGTGAGGTCAAAGCAGATGTCCTGTCACCTACCTATTTCTTCAGCCTTCTCCACAATGGAAGCCACAATGACAGTTTCATTCCACGAAAACCATCTGCCAACCACCCTAGAACTCCGCTCGTACCTCTGGAGAAGTGTTCGACTTCAAAGCGCGTGGACGTCTGATCTGGCCAGTGAAAAAACAAGCTCTAAATATCCATTCTGGGCAATACTCGGCCTAAGAAAAAAATAAAGAGGACAAGGTAATCAGCAGAACTTTCTTGATCAGGCAAGAAGATTGTGAAATGATGCAGCATGATGCAGCTCAAAAACTCCCCTGCGGAGTCAAACATTTTGGGCAAATAGGGTCCGGACTACCAAGGGTCCGGACCTTTGAGACCATGAGCTACACCGGACTGTTAGGATAGTGGTCTTTGAGACCGAGAAGGTTCTGGTGGAATCGGATGTGACGAATCCGCGGTCCAAGCCAGGCAGCCTCGGTGATTCGCCATTCTTAGCCCAGGCTCGTGAACCAGCCAACTTGGGGGCACAGCGCTCCGCTGTATCCTGTTTGAAAACATCGGACATCGAACGAGGGATGGACATCGAGTGAGAGGTACCAGCTGTCTCCCACGCGTCCCCTCCCGTTCCGGAGACCACTTGGTGGTCCACGATCACTTGGCCACTGGCATCCACAAATCCTGTTGCCATCCGACGAACTGACCTGGGGGAAGGACCAGTTGATGCCACCACCATGACAATGACAGATTCAGTCATTCATGTCCATGTCGGGATAACCCAACCTCAGCCACCCCCGTCCCAGAAACAAATTTGGTGACAGGGTTGCAGCTTCAGAGTCCTAGCCAGGCGCGGCTATGCGCCTGGCACGGACCTCTGCAGAGGAAACCTGCGGCGAAGTGACATATGGCAGACATTTGTCAACTGTGTCACTGTCTCGGATGGGGCACAGGATGCTGAGTCGAATCCGAATGCGCGGCTTTTGATTGCTTGGCACTGGCCGGGATCGTTGCCACAGTTATTGGGACATTGGGCGCTAAGACGTCGTGGAGGCTCTCATCGAGACGTGAACGCACGATGACACTCAGTGCTGCACTAGCGGCTGCCAAACAGGAGACAAATTGTCTCTGTAAGATGCCTGTCTAGCGCTACTCCGCCTTGCTAGGCACTAGAGGCAATTGACACACATAACGCTAACATGTTATGTGCAGGCGGAACACCCCGAGGTGCTGTTGCGTGCTAGCCTTCCCGCACCAGTTACCTGAAGTTCTGCAGGAGTGAAGTCAACTCAGTCTGCGCCACTGATTAGTCTGCTGAATACTTGAACCATTAAGTAAGCTTATTGCGTTAGTTTGGAGAGAATATGCGGGCCGAGAGGCGCGACAGTGTGCAGTACGTTTGCCAAGACCGCGAGCCTGATATCGAAACCCAGGCTCTCAGTGTTACCTTGGAGCCATCATAGCTGTCGAGCAGAAACATTTGACACGATATCTTGACAAATTTAAGAGGAAGAGAGTAATGATTTGTGCCATCTGAAATGCTTCGGTAGGTATCGCAGCTTGCCGCGATCGCAGTATGGTCTAGGCGGTGCGATTCATGAACGCACACACCATGGGAAATGAACAGCACCGCCGCCGGAGGATGAAAATAGAAGGGATCACCCTTTTCAGGTTCAGGGTCGCCATGCAGACTGAATGTAAAAGCCCACCACTTTTTGCCCGGGTCGAGAGACTGACGCTTCTAGTGGGGGTCCGTGAATCCACATTTCGTTTCGTCTGACCGTGAAAGCCGTGATCTTTGGTCGACGACCGAACCACGCTGCATGGCGTGCCGTCTGCGCGCGTTTCAAGGGTTCATCCTCGGCCGTGACTACACTCAGCCGGATGAGGCTCCCGCGGCGCCAATTGCAACAGCTTAGGCAAGTACTGACAGATTCTGACGATGGTTACTGTGAGAGAAGTCGGTTTTGCGTACCGCAAGTCTAGGTACTGAGGATACAGGCTGATGAGCCGTATGGTATTCGATGCTTCTTGGGCTGAGACTGCAATGGCTCGGATGAAGTCTCTGTGACGGGAATGCAAAGACCAAGTTGACTCGTCGTCAATGTCCAGAAGCTGGTATATTAAGACGGTGGATTTCCAGGTCTAGGTCAGGTTTCCCTTCCATCTCATCAGCATCCAGAATTCTCAGCTTACAACGATATTCTAACACTTTCCTAAATAACTTCCATCCTTCGCGTCAATCAAATCAAGCCTTCGCTTACCGAATACCAATCAAAATGCACTTCACCAACGTCTTCGTCCAGGCCCTGCTTGCCGGCTCCGCCGTTGCAGCTCCCGCTTCTCTCGCCAGCAAGCGTCAACTTCAGCCCATCCAGGCTGCCTTGACCAACGTTCAGGACTCTCTTACCGGGCTCGACACCGCTGTCAAGGTACGAGAAGATGACTAGAACATTATTCGGTGACCGTAGCTAACCCGCTCTTGCGTAGGCTCTCAACGCCGCGGATCCCAACGCCGCCGCCAACCTGCTTGATGCTTCCAACAAGGTCCAGACCTCGCTGAAGCAAGGTACCACGCAGATTCAGGGCGCCCAGGAGCTTTCCCTCACCGATGCCCTCACCCTCCAGCAGTCTGCCGGTGGCTTGACCACCGCTGTCCAGACCTCTGTTGATGACTTGGTCGCCAAGAAGCCCGAGCTTGACAAGCTTGGCGCCACTTCCATTGCCGTTGACCAGCTCAAGCAACAGAAGGCGACTGCCGGTGACTTCAGCAGTGCCATCGTTTCCAAGGTCCCCGCGATCGGCCAGG